ATATTCCAGACCCCCCTAGACGCGGGGCTGTGCCCCCTGCTCTGGGTGACCCTGCTTGGGCAGGGGGTTGGGCTGGGTGACCCCCAGAGGTCCCTTCCAACCCCGAACGTTCTGTGATTCTGTGAAAAGCTGAAACAGCCGCTTGTTGCAGCCACGCTGTTACCTGCTGGAGGTATTTGTCGCAGATGACATACTCCCGCTCGTGGGGGTCCTGGAGCTTGTGGGTCTTGATATATTGCCACAATGCCTGGATGATCACTGGACGGGTCTGAGTGTGAATCCCCAAGAGACGAGCCAAGCGGGGATCCAGTTTGAACTGGGGAGGCTGAAACAAAAAGCACAGAAAGGCGAGATGGCCACAGATCACATGCAGTACGGTGATGTACATGCCCAGCACTGTTACTCCCAACGTCTTACCTGGTAATCCAGCATCAGAAGGACAGTACAGCGCACATTTACATCTCCCGGCCTCTTCACCTGGAAGCCATCTGTCTCCTGAGTTGTAGCAGTCCTGTGCCACTGGAACAGGAGAGGGCATTTAGAAGCACCCCCACACTTGGTTCCCTTTGCTCCTGCTGCTGGGCACCCTACAAGCTTGCCAGTAAATCCCACCCACCTAGAGAAAGTTCACCTTGCTCCCACTTGCAGATTGAAACAAGAGTTAACACATTTGTTCAGACCCCCAGCAAGTCAGAGCAAAAGCTAAGATAAGAATTCAAGAGCTGCTGGCTCCCAGCCACTTGTCCAAGCCTGAAGTATCCCCACCTCTCAAGTTACAAGTGATATACAAACCCTGCCTGCTGAAACACCAACCCATTTTTAGAGTTAACACAGCAAAAAGCAGCTCACCTCTACTAGGTGATTGTCAGGGCCATACAGGTCTTTATCAAGTTCAATGACCAGAGATTTAAAGAAGGATGAGAACTTTCTTTTCTGCTTGGTGGCATCATATTTGGACAAAGCAGACTGCAAGCAACACAGGAAGGAAAAGTGTTAGGACAGCAAGTCTCAGCACTCAAGCACAGCCACCGTGAACGACAGCGTTCCTTTAAGTTCTGAACACCTAAATTCACCAACACGTGCTTGAAAATCAAGTTCCAAGCCAGAAAGTGAAAGACTGGAGTTAAAGATGAGCTTGCAGGAATTAAATCACTCAGCAATTACACACAATGCAAGTGCCCTGGTTCTCAGAGCCAGGGTACACAAGCGCCGCTGATCCGCTCTCACCATTCATTCTTAGAGCTATAAGAACTTTGTACAACTCATGTCCTGTCATGGGGATACCCATCGGTCTCCAAGCTGGGCTCTTGGTCTCGTCACCATCAGACTCCTTGGAAAACAGAGATGAAGGAGGATATGAAGGCCCCAGCTATGCTCTCAGACACTAAGAAACTGGTTTCACTGCCAATTCCAGATGCATGAAGTCACCTCTCTGGTTGGATATTTCACACTTACATCTTCCAGCAGCCGTCCTTCTACGCGAAGCTCCCAGGAGGCGACCGTTCCTTCACCATCCTCAGCATCTGACTTGGCTGGATTGAAGGTATTGGAGATAAAAATACGTAGCTTTCGTTTTTGCTACAAGAAAAAGCATCGTCTCAGTGTTAATTCTGAAATAAAGGGCCCGATTATCTTGCTTATCACAGAATCACAGAATGGTAGGGGTTGGAAGGGACCTCTGTGGGTCCCCCAGCCCAGCCCCCTGCCCAAGCAGGGTCACCCAGAGCAGGCTGCACAGCACCGCGGCCAGGCGGGGCTGGAATATCTCCCGAGAAGGAGACTCCACAGCCTCCCTGGGCAGCCTGGGCCAGGGCTCCGGCACCCTCAGAGGGAAGAAGTTCTTCCTCGGGTTCAGCTGGAGCTTCCTCTGCTCCAGTTTGTGCCCGTTGCCCCTTGTCCTGTCCCTGGGCACCACTGGAAAGAGTCTGGCCCCGTCCTCCTGACCCCCACCCTGCAGGTATTTGTAAGTATATATTAGGTCCCCTCGCAGGGTTCTCTTCTTCAGGCTGAAGCTTTTAGTGGCCTCATATTCTCCCTCTCCTGGGGCAGACAGCAAGAGGCATTTCTGTTTCCACTCCTTGGTTACGTCCGAGGCATTAAGATTCCGGATACGCCACGCTTCCAGGGACACGACCCAAGCTTCCGTGTCCCCCTGCTGACCTAAGTGAAGCGCGTGCCTCCAAACCTCGCTTACGACAACCACGAACGCAGCCCTCCCCTACCTTAATGGGTCGCTTCAAAGCCTCCTGGATATCCAAGCGTTTCCTCATGATCGTCTGGTCCAATTTCCTTTCAAAGGCCAGCAAGTCCATATAGGCCTGCGACTCGGGTACAAGTTCACGAATCTACAGCCAATCAAGAATGCAAATCACCGTCAGCTCCCCCGCACTTCTCCACTCTGTATCGTATCAACGCAGGCTGCAACTACCTGTGCCACTCACCCTCTGAGGTAGAATTTTGTCAGCCATCTTCTTCTTTTTAGCGCTGTTAAGGAAGAAGAAGCACACACAGGCATTAAAATGGCAACCGTTTTCTGCAAATTAACTGCAGGCATTCGCAAAGGGAGCAAGACGACGGCTTGTTCTCGGGTTCACTGCTGCGGCATTAGCAGTGCTCTCAGCCTGGATGCCAGTCTCGGGCCCGGGCTCTTATTTTCAGAGGCACCTTGCGTTACTGTCAGCGCAGAATCAGGCTCCTTCCTCCCCCCAGGCCCTGCCGGGCCCCCGGCGCCGCAGAGCTGACGAACCCTGCAGCAGCGTGACCAACCACCCGAACGTTTCACACCCCCTACGAGACGCGGGGTTTTCTGAACCCCCCAGAAAGCGGGGTTACAGCGAGCTGGATGTACTGACAAAACGTCTAAACAAAGCGACTCTCTAGCCTCAATTAGCTTTAGATTGACTTTTCTAGGAGACGTGTTTTAAATCAAGGAATGAATTACTGAGGCATCATGCCGTACTGCCAGAAACGCAACATAAAGTTGCTCTGGTCTAGCAGCTGCACATTATTCTTTCATCTTCTGGAAGCCCCTCATCTCCCAGAAGAGGGGCTGCACGAGCTGACGTCCCTTTCTGCCACCTACCGAGACGCAGCCACGGGGAGCCCAAGCGCAGCACGAAGGCAGAGCGCCCCGGACACGGCCAAACAGAAGAGCTTTGTGTTGCCAAGCACAGCCGGCTGGTGACACCGAGTCAGTGGCTGCGGGCTCCCCCCGCCCCGCCCACC